AGGTGACCATTCCGATCGAAGACGTCTGTCGCTGTCACCTCCGAGTCATGTTCCGACACCGGTCGTCCCAAGACTGTGAGTCGTACCCATTTGCAGGGCAACCATCCCCGTGCGCTCCTTGCCCCGCTTCTCTTCTCTTCCCTTCTCGTCTGACGCCCCCTTCTGTTCTCTTCCTCCAGCTAGGGACAAATCGGAGAAGCCTTTCGGAATGTCCTTCGTCCGCCTGATGAGAGGCGACGGGACCACGCTGAGGGACGGAAGACACGATCTCATCGTGTACAAGGTGCGATCGAGGAGGCGGCGAGGGGAGGAAGTTAACGTTAAAGGGCGGACATCCTTAAAATCCAAAATAAACAGAGGGAATAAAAAAAAATTAGCTCATCCGTCCATTTTGTCTCGTTTCGCGAATGTCCACAGGTGGACGTGAAAAAGACGGAAGACGCCAAAGTTTACCTCGCCCAGCCGGCCACTTGGGGCGAGGCGGAGGAGAGGGAGAGGCAGACGGGGAAGCAGTTCCATCCTACGGGGATGATCCCCGTGACTAAGGACAGCTTCCAGTTGGCCACGCTCACCTGCTCCACCAAGCTGACGCAGAACGGTACTGCGGGAAAGAAAGAATGAAAAATGCTAACGCTAATATTTTACGTTTATGAACGACAAAACTCAATTTTGAACGTCGTGATTTTATGCGACAATTTTTTCTTTTTTTTTGAGCGATTTTTGCGAAAAATTTTAGTTTGAAAAAACTAAAATGCTAATATTTTATGTTTACGAACGACAAAACCCATTTTCGAACGTCAGGATTTTTTGCAACAATTTTTTTTTTTTTATCATTTTTTTTAGTGTTTTATGCGAAAAATTTTAGTTTAAAAAAACTAACATTGACGTTAAAGGGCGGACATCCTTAAAATCCAAAATAAACAGAGGGAAAAAAAAAAAAATTAGCTCATCCGTCCATTTTGTCTCGTTTCGCGAATGTCCACAGGTGGACGTGAAAAAGACGGAAGACGCCAAAGTTTACCTCGCCCAGCCGGCCACTTGGGGCGAGGCGGAGGAGAGGGAGAGGCAGACGGGGAAGCAGTTCCATCCTACGGGGATGATCCCCGTGACTAAGGACAGCTTCCAGTTGGCCACGCTCACCTGCTCCACCAAGCTGACGCAGAACGGTACTGCGGGAAAGAAAGAATGAAAAATGCTAACGCTAATATTTTACGTTTATGAACGACAAAACTCAATTTTGAACGTCGTGATTTTATGCGACAATTTTTTCTTTTTTTTTGAGCGATTTTTGCGAAAAATTTTAGTTTGAAAAAACTAAAATGCTAATATTTTATGTTTACGAACGACAAAACCCATTTTCGAACGTCGGAATTTTATGCGACAATTTTTTTTTTTTTTGTGTTTTCTGCGAAAAATTGTAGCCTGAAAAAAATTAACATGCTAACGCTAATATTTGACGTTTATGAACGACAAAAACCCGTTTTTGAGCGTCGGGATTTTTTGCGACAATTTTTTTTTTTTTTTTTTTTTAGTGTTTTCTGCGAAAAATTGTAGCCTGAAAAAAATTAACATGCTAACGCTAATATTTTACGTTTATGAACGACAAAAACCCGTTTTTGAGCGTCGGGATTTTTTGCGACAATTTTTTTTTTTTTTTTTTTTTTAGTGTTTTCTGCGAAAAATTGTATCCTTAAAAAAATTAAAATGCTAAAGCTAATGCTAATATTTTACGTTTATGAACGACAAAACCTATTTTTGAACGTCGGGATTTTTTGCAACAATATTTTTATTTTTATCATTTTTTTTAGGGTTTTCTGCGAAAAATTATAGCCTGAAGAAATTAAAATGCTAATGCTAATATTTTACGTTTATGAACGCCAAAACCCAATTTTGAACGTCGGGATTTTATGCGACAATTTTTTTTAGTGTTTTCTGCGAAAAAATGGAGGCTGAAAAAGTTAAAATGCTAACGCTAATATTTCACGTTTATCAACGACAAAACCTGTTTTCGAATGTCGGGATTTTTTGCGAGAATTTTTTATTTTTACCTTTTTTTTTTTAGTGCTTTATGCGAAAAATTGTAGCCTGAAAAAATAAAAATGCAAACGCTAACGTTAACGTTAATATCCTACGTTTATGAACGACAAAACTCAATTTTGAACGTCGGGATTTTTTGCGACAATTTTTTTTTTTTTTTAGTGTTTTCTGCGAAAAGTTGTAGCGTGAAAAAAATTAAAATGCTAACGCTAATGTGAATATTTTACGTTTATGAACGACAAAACTCAATTTTGAACGTCGGGATTTTTGCGACAATTTTTTTTTTTTTATCTATTTTTAGCGAATTCTGTGAAAAATTGTAGTGTGAAAAAAATTAAAACGCTAACGCTAATATCACTTCACGTTTATGAACGACAAAACCTGTTTTTGAACGTCGGGATTTTTTGCGACTATTTTTTTTTTTTAGTGTTTTCTGCGAAAAATTGAAGTCTGAAAAAATAAAAATGCTAACGCTAACGCTAATATCATTTCACGTTTACGAACGACAAAACCTAATTTTGAACGTCGGGATTTTTTGCGACAATTTTTTATTTTTTTATTTTTAGTGTTTTCTGCGAAAAATTGTAGCGTGAAAAAAATAAAAATGCTAACGCTAATATTTTATGTTTATGTACGACAAAACCCAATTTTGAACGTCGGGATTTTATGCGACAATTTTTTTTTTTTAGTGCTTTCTACGAAAAATTGTAGTTTAAAATAAATTAAAATGCTAATGCTAACGCTAATTTTTTTACGTTTATCAACGATAAAACTTATTTTTGAGCGTCGGGATTTTTTTGCAACAATTTTTTATTTTTATCATTTTTTTTAGTGTTTTATGCGAAAAATTTTAGTTTGAAAAAACTTAATTTCTAACGCTAATATCATTTCACGTTTACGAACGACAAAACTCATTTTTGAACGTCGGGATTTTTGCGACTTTTTTTTTTTAGCGTTTTTTGCAAAAAAAAATTTAGTTTGAAAAAAATCAAAATGCTAACGTTAACGTTAATATTTTACGTTTATGAATGACAAAACTCAATTTTTAACGTCGGGATTTTATGCGACAATGTTTTTTTTTTATCTTTTATTTTAGCGATTTCTGCGAAAAATTGTAGCCTGAAAAAAATGATAAATGCTAACGCTAACGCTTATATCACTTCACGTTTACGAACGACAAAACCCATTTTCGAACGTCTTTTTTTTTTTTTTTTCTTCTTTTACTTTTAGGCCCGCTTTGTTACGCGCGCCAGGGGGCCCGTGCATTCGTTCTCT